AGTTGCCGCTTTACAGTTTAACACGCGGACTCATTTTGGCTACGTTACAGTTTAACACATTTTGGTCTTGCATATAATGGAAAAATGGCGTCGGCTGCGGCGGTAGTTTTGCATCACATAGCCGCGTGAAACCTTAACCTGCAGCATGCATGATTACCGTTAATCTCTTCGGTGTTCGGTTACTCATCGAACAAGGAGATGAATTTGGAGGTCTTTATTCATACGTGGACGGGGAACATCCCCTTAAAAAATCGGCTTTCTGGCTTTTCTGATTCTCTACTTATTAAAATTTGTATCAAAATTTTCACTTGTACGTACGTGAGATTCGGATGTACTAAGGAGCTGAATTTGAAATCTTTAGGTCATACGTGAGTGACGACCATCCCCTTAAAATTTCAGTTTCTCGGCTTTTCTCGTTCTCGAGCATTTTTTCGCTAAGACCTTCGCGTACCCGTATGTGAGATGTAGGCCTGCATGAAAGTCGATACTATGTCTGTGGGGCCGCGGTACTGATCTGGGGAGGTAAAACACTCGCGAAATTTCAGCATCAAAACTTGCCTTGTCACCGGGGGAAAATACCCGGACGGACGAACACACACACCTACTCATACATAGATTGTACTCAAAATATGCGTTTTGCTGCTTGTTGCAGCACACTAGAGCTGCACAGCAACAACGCATAACAAAATCAAGACAATGGATGGACGAATAATTGTAATAAACAGCGAGTTTTGGAGAATCGCCATCGTGGCCTGTGCAGCTTCTGGGCGAGGGAGATGCTTCGCAGTGTTGGTGCCTACTACCTCGTTTTATGCCCGGTTGCTTAGATATACTAGTCCATGCAACATTTGACGCTTTTCGATCACTTAGTGGCACCTTACCATGAAAAAATTTTGTTCTCTGTAGTGGTTTCGTTTTTTGCCTCGTTTTTTTTCCACCTTTGCCCTGCCCACAAACAAATTGCCCCATTCCCTCGCCGATTGTGAGTCATGTTCCTGGGTCTCGCAGCTACACCTCATTAGAAGAATGCTTAGCCTTCGACTGCTCTGAAATGTAGTTTTGCGAGGTTTTTTTCGTGATATCAAACTGCATGAAATAGACTCAAAGTGC